GCTTTACAAACGCTTTCCCACATGTGGCCTCAGTTGGTGTCCAATGCTGCGCTCTGCCAGTCACTGGATGGGCATATCTCCATTTGACAAATGAGAGAGCTGAGGCCAGGTAGGACAGGTAGAAACAGTCCAAAGGGGATGAGCCAGACTGAGAATCCAGCCCTTCTGACCCCTAGTGCCATGGAGAGGAGAGGGGAGGGAGAGTTAAAGACCCTTGGTGTAAGGAATTGATCCCCGAGTTTGCAGAGGCTGGCAGGTCTCACGTCAGCAGGGCATGCCTACCGGCTGGCGCCCCAGGGGACGTGGGTGTTTCTGCTCCAGTCCCAAGGCCGTCTGCTGGCAGACTCCCCTCCCTCAGGGGAAGTCAGCCTTTCTTCTCTTATGGCTTCAACTGATTGGATGAGAGGCACCCAGATTATGGAGGACAATCCGCTTTTCTTAAAGTCTATTGATTTCAACATTACTCTCACCTACAATACACCAATATAGCAACATCCAGATGCATTTGACCAAATATCTGGGTACCGTGGTCCAGCCAAGTGGACATAAAAATAACCATCATGCCCCTTCATGTTGCACAATCTCCATTCCTTTCCATCTGGGAAACTGCACCCACATCCCATAATAAGCAGACAGGGTGCCATCAGGTGAGAGGGAAGCCGTGCGCCCACAAATGTAGTGCATTGTCTGTGGGAGACTCCTGGGCTGGGAGGATCGCAGCTGGCTGTGCTCTGAGAGCTGCTTGTGGCCAGGGTGCGCTGACCCTTGAGCTACCTGGCATTTGACTCCAGAGTCAGGTCATGTCCAGGCAGCAAGGCTTGTCAGCCTTCTGGCTGCTCTTCAGTGCCAAGGTTCGTGGGGTTAGGACTCCTAGCTTTCTGGGGGGTGGGCGTGGAGGTGGGGATGGCGGGGGCTTTTTATGAATCGCGTTGATCCTGTCAGGCTTGGGGATCTCATTGGGAAAGGAGAAGGATGTAACCCAGCAAGGTCAGATAAAGGTCAGCTTGCTACTTCCTGTCCCACAGGGCCAGTTCCAACGCCACGTCCCTTCAGGCTTTTCCTGCTCTCCAGGACTGCGATGATTAAATCTCCTGGCTTTGCACTCTGCAGCATTAGGAGGTGTGTGTCTCTCTCAGGCCACACGTGGCGGTAAAGTCATCTGGCCATAACCTGGAGGCAGGATCCAGGCAGGTCTGACCATCTTTGCCTAGTCCCTGCCGGGCTGAGGGGATACAGTGGGAATTACTCACTCCTGGGTGATTTGAAAGCTTATAGTGTTAACCCACACGTATTGAAGCTCTTGCTACGTGGCAAACAGTTTGAACGGGCAGTCGCCTGTTGCCTTCGCCACACAGCTTCATGGGCCAGCTCTCCCATTCTTCCCCCTGACGTCTTGCAGGAGTAACTCCCTGCTGTCACGGTCCCCATCATTTATTTGCTTTTATTTGTCATCGTAAAATATATATAACGTCTACTATTTAACCATTCTTAAATGAGGTATTAAGCACATTCACAGTGTTGCACTACCATCCATTTCCAGAACTTTCTCATCCTGCCAAACAGAAACTTTGCCCGCACTAAACAAAGGCTTCCCATTCTCCACTCCCCCAGCCCCTGGCAGCCACCATCCTGTTTTTTGTCTCTGTGAATTTGATTATTCTAGGTACCTCAATCCGAGTGGAACATATACTTACTTGTTTTTGTGATCGTCTTATTTCACTCAGTGTAATGCCCTTGAGGTTCATCCATGTTGTAGCGGGAATCAGAATGGCTGAATAATATTTTTAAGGCTGAATAATAAATATTTCATCCTAGGTTATTAAAGGAGAGAAATTATTCGTGCCCCTTGTGAAAGATGGCAAGGCAGAGTTTATTCAGAGTTTACTCGGTTTCCGCATCTGTAAAGTGGGCACAGTGCCGGCCCCACTGCGCCTGCTGTGAGGCTAACAGGAGACGATGAAGGTGGAAGTCCTGAGCACGGCAGCCCGTAAACACTCGGTAAATGTTACTCTCCCTCCGGCCCTTCCGCCTTCTCTCCCTAAACTCAGAAACCCCACCTTCCCACGAAACAGGTTTCTGCGTTTAGGGAAAAAGGAGTAAGAAACAGCTGCAAACAGGGGCTGGGCCAGTTAGAGAAGGCCCCAGACGTCACAGGGAATTTGGACTTTATTCTGTGCACGGCTGGTGTTGGCTTGAACTCAGGGAGCAAGGGGGCCAAGAGAAGGGTTCTGTGCTCAGGTCTATTTCAGGCCCAGGGACAGCAGGGGGAGAAGAGCAGGGATTCGTGAGACGTGGCTTATGGGCAGGTGGGCAAGGTCAAGGTTAAGTGAGCGGAAGAGAGGACAGGGGCTTGTCTTGGGTTGTACTGTGGCAAGAGTGAGAAGCAACCAGATTTGGGAGGGTTTTTGGAGGCACAGGCTGCAGGACTAATAACATACTGACTCAGTGGGAGAGGAGAGAAAGGAAGGTGATGTGTAAGTTTTGGGTCTGGCTACTAGATGGTCCCCTTCACTGCGATGTGCATGTTTGGGGGGGTTGATGGGAGGTGGGCATCTCAGAGTTGGAAGATTAGGGTCTGCTCCTTCTTCTTGTTCTTCACTTGCCAGGCCTCGATGTCCCCATCTGTAAAAGGGGGACAATGAAGTGTCCTAGAGCTGTTGGGGGGCTCTTTGTGAGCTATAACTCACACATGCGTGTGTGTGTACATGCACGTATGTACCTATTACTTCTCTAAGCACAGTTAGACCAGTGCAAACTCGTGTATATATGTACCTCAACTTGGAGAGATGCTGTCACCATCCAACGTTCTGTCCCATTGTCATACCCAGATGTCCCAGACCATGCTCTGGCTCCAGGTTGCCTTCCTTCCATCTCTCTCCAGCAATTCCACTTAAAAACTCTAGACTGAAGGGGGTGCCACCCCCTCACCTGGGAGTGTCCCCCAGCCTCACACCCTCTAAATAACTCCTACCCATCCTTGAAGACCCTCCCCTCAAATGCCGCTTTTTTCGTGAAGTCCCTGGGTCCCCTGGTGTGACCTTTCCTACATCCCTCGAACTCGAGTGGCTCTCTGTACCTTTGTGCGGGACTGTCATCACCAATTTGGGGTTACAGATATTTCGTATGTGGCTTATGGACGTGTGTATTGGGTAAATGAATGAAACACGACTGACCTGTTATTTATTAAATGGCGACGGAGCATAGATAGTGTCCCATTCATGGTGGCCAAGTGCTGGGGGTACAAGTTGAGGGGCAGGGGTCTCTGCTCTCACGGGGTTTGCAGGCCATGGTAGAGCCCAGAGAGTCGGTGATCGACCACTGTGGCCTTCAGGGGTCATAGCCGTTCCCTATCAGGGTTAAATCAGCTCCTGCCCGTAGCCAATCCCAGGCTGCTCCTGGGGGCAGAGGGTGTTCAGAATCCGCTCAGTCCCCATGCGGAGACACCAGGCAGGTGCGGGTCTGTGTAAACCAGCAGAAGGCCTAGGCCTGGGGTGTCTGGGTGCCGGGTCTCCCTCAAGAGTCTGCCCCTGCCCTAGTCTCCCCCACACTCAGATCACTTTTGCCCCCTTCTCTTCTATAGTCACAAGCTCATCTCCATCAATTCTCCAAGCTGGAACATCACACTGCATTAGGGCTTTGCCTTCAATGCATTACCGCTCTAATTCATCACGCCGCTTTAAGTGATGGAGGCTCAAAGCCCCATAAATCACCCTGCACTTCCCGGCTCACGGCCTAATGAATATGGAGCTTGGGAAGAGACCGAGCTGATTCCTTCTCCCCACCTCCCTTGGCGTTGTCTGCGTGGGGAAGCCCACTTGAACCACACTCGGAGGAGGATGAAGCAAGTGTGGGTGCAGCGGCAGGTGTGGAGGGGGAGGGGGGACAGGCAGTACTAGGAAGGGGCAGATTTAGGTTCCAGATCCCCTCCCTCGCTTTCTTTTAACAAGTTATTTATTGAACGCATACTGCACTGCACTGTAAGTACCCCTGAAATTCCAGGTGTCAAATACTTCGTTTTGCTCCCCTGTCCTTATACCCAGAGTCTGGCAGAAGTAACGCCTGCATGAGTGTGGTTGGTAGAATAATAACAGGAGTGTCAAAACTCATAGTTTTACTTTGAACACTTCCCCTAAAATGTCCTATGGTGTACTTGAGGGTGATGGTTATGTTGCAGAAGTACATGTTTATGATTTTGTAATACAAGGTTTTGTAATGATAGGGGCGTTATTTGTGACTGATGACTTGAGAGTCATCAGTCAGCGCTGCCTCTGCTGGGGACTCCACCCCTGTCCACCACGGACTCCTCAGCACAGTGTGCGTTTGGGACCTGATGGGACCTGCGGGGCTGGGACGTTCAGTGCAGGAGGGTGACTGGGCAGGTCATGGGTGACCCAGGGGGACTCGGCATCAGCAGGGGTGGAGCTGGTTAAATGCAGCGTGTGGATTCGAAGGTGAGTGTGGGAGGATGGGGAAGATGATGCTGGAACAGTGAGTTCAGGGACCAGACCGCAGACGGCTTAGAGCAGTGGACTACTGATGGCTCTGGACCCTGAGCTCAGAATGGAGCCTGCCACGTGTTACACTTTAGAAAAAAAACTGTTTAAAAAAGCTGATATCAGGGATGGTGGCTCCTGGATGACAGCACACACCAATAAAACAAAGCTCGGGCGTCAAAACTGCCTGTGAACAAACCCCAGCTAATCACTAGCTGCTTAAGTGCTCGGTAGAAACAAAAGGTGACCTATCCCCTTTGGAGTTTCTCGTGGTGGAATCTCAGTTCCATAGTGTAAATTGGTCTTTTCAGAAGGGACGTTGGTGCGTATAGTACAGAGAGAGGAGCCGTTTTTCTGAGCTGAGACTGAATTGAGCCACTGCGCCTCCCAATGTGCTCTTTGAGGGAACGCATGAACCTCTGATCTCTCCGGCTGCCTGGAAGAGGAGCTCGGCGCATGGGACCCGCTTCCAGATCTAATTGAAACCATCCGTATTCCATATTTCAGCTCCGATCGATCCTCCCGCAGCGGCAACCGTAGCTCCGCGTCTGGTTGCGCGCCCTCGTGGGCCTGTGCGTGCCGGTGGACAGATGCCCCGAGGCGCGCTGAGGAACCAATCACAGCCAGCAGCGCGCAGGAGAGAGTCAGGTCTTGCTGGGAAAAAGCGGCCGCTCCCAGAAGTCTCTGAGACAGACAGACAGACACACGGCTGCTGAACTGCCCTGGGGAGCCTACCTCGGGAGGAAACAGATGCCGTTTAGATTTCTTTGCCTCTAATTGTGATGATTATAGGCCTGCAGACACTCTCTTTTGGGTAACGAACCAAAACTTCTAATATGTGCCAGGAAAAAAAAAAGCATGTGAAATATGCATTAGGGGATGCAATTACCCTCCATGGTGACTTTTCAGGTGGGGGGGACAGAATAAAAAACAATGAATGCTAATTAGTTTACATTAATCAAAATTATATCCTGCTTCTTTTTTTTTTCTTCCCCCCAGCTTGTAAGTGTTCAGAAGCAGGTTATTCCAATTTCACCCCTGTTTTTCAAAAATTAATAAGGGCCATACATTAGTGTACCATTCTGCCTGCTTCATGGAATAGATTAGTAAAGGTTTTAATTACTGAAATTATACAGTCATAAAAAGATGATTTAATGAAAGCAATCATATCATTTGCATTCCGGGCCTGCCTGCCTGCAGTCACCCCAAGAAACGCTAAATTACTTGGAAGTGCAGACAAATAATTACTGCATTGTCATTCTGCTTGAGGACCCTGGGCTCCAGTGACTTCAAGTTCCCAGTAAATACCAGCCCCACCCGAGACAGAGGGTTAGAGATGACAATGGAGACCTAAAATCCCTCTTCCTTCCCCATTCCCAGAGCTTGTCTTACCTGGAGAAATCCATTAGGACCTCCCTCGGATAAGGGACAATTCACTGGTGTGCTGTTTTGTGGAAGGTTTTGTGGTGGTTAACATAATTAGGCCCCAGTCTGGAAGTGATAGCCCAGGTATGAAAAAGACAGGTTATTTTATTACCTGTGTCAGGACAGCAGGTGGGTGCATGAAATCATGCATCAGGAAGGGTGCGCCCACCCACTTGCAAAGCCAGAATCTAAGTGTGGGCGGGCGGCTCTAGATCAGCCGCCCCCAGGGCCTCCTCAGCTCCCCCCACAAAAGAGGGGCAGACACAGTGACATGTGACCAGCCCCAGTGAGGGCTGCTGAGTTCCCACTAGGAACCGTGTGGAATTATTGAAGGTCTGTGGTGGTGGCTGGTGGAAAGGGTCAGCGTCGAGAAGGGTTTATTCTGCTTAGATTTATAGCAACCCTCAGATGTCAATTCCGGTGTCCCCAGTTCAATTCTGCAGAGTACCCTTACTATACCCTCCTAATAAATTGTCCCCACTCTGTGGACCCCAGAGCCCCTCCTTTGTGGTGCCCTGGGACTTTTGGGGCCATCATCCTTTGATGATGTCAGGACTTCAGAGATGAGGGTACCCATAAGCTTTTGGTTTTTTCCCCACTGGTCAAGTCTACTGATACTCATTGGACACTTACTACTATGTGTAAAACCTTGTATTGGGGTCTTAGCATAGGAAAAGGGATGGTGTTGCCCCATCAGAATGCTTCTTTAAAAAATCCTCATCTGAGGATATGTTTATTGATTTTAGGTGGCAGGACAGGGAGAGAGAGAATCATCAACATGAGGGAAATATTGGTTGGTTGCTTCCCATACACACCCCGGCCGGGGATCAATCCCACACCCCTGTGGTGTAGGGGGTGATGCTCCAGCCACCTGAGGCACCCGGCCAGGGCCCCATAATAATGTTTTTAATGCACGTTACACATCATTTGTATACTCAGAAAGTAGAAACTCAGTGTTGCGGTGACTTAATTTCAGGGGAAAACCACCTTTAGGTGAGCTAAGGGAAGAATTTTTGGAAAAGGCTGCAATGAAGGACCAACGAGAGATGGAAGGAGTCAGAGCATCATTATTATTATTAAGCTAGGACCATCCTCTGTTCTCTGAGATGTGAAAGCTGAGGCTTGGAGAGGTTGCTAAAGACCACGTGGCAAGAGCAGGGGGAAGCTGGGGCTCCTGCTCCCCTGTCTGCTGCCCTCACCTCTGCTCTTCCTCCTCCCCAGGGAGAGGCTGCTGGATCTGGAGGGAGCCCAGAAAGACATCTTCCTGAGCTCTCGTGTTTCAGGGGTAACTAAGCCGGCTGGGTCCAGAGAAGTGAAGTGACTCAGCCAGAGTCAGCCAGGGACAGACCCAGGGCTGAACTGTGGCAAGAGGACAGGAGTCGAGGCAGTCTCCAGAGGGCTGACCGTGTGTGGGAGGGACCACAGGGCCCTGCAGGGGCTTGGTGATCCCGGCCAGAGTGGGAGGGAGGCGCAGGGACACTGCGGGGCCTGCCCTTTGCTTTGCCCTTTGCTTTGCCCTTTGCTTTGCCCCCAGGGGCAGTGCAGCACACTGTCCAGGCGATGATTAGAGAATGTGATGGGGGAGAGCGAAGACAGATGTGGTATTTCTGTGTTGCAGCCTGGGGACAGATCAATAGACACAGCCCACTGGGCACTTGGCTGCCTTCCTGTCTGTCCGGGAGGTCAGCGGTGCTGGGGGTCTGTGGGGCTTCCTGGGCACCAAGTAAGCCAGAGGTGCTAAGGGCAGTGAGAGACCCAGTGACCTGGAGGGTCCTGCTGATCCATTGGTAAATGTCATGAAGGAGCAGGGTCCCAGCTGGGGTCTGCTCTGTGCCCATCCCTGGGGTCCATGTGGCGAGGTGGAAAGGCGGGACAATCAAAAACCTGCTTAAGGACTGAGGTGCTGCCAGAGAGAAATCTGAAGGGAAGACAGCCAGCCAGCCAGGCGCGGGCTGGTGCTGGGGAACAGGGACGGGTGCAATTCTGAAAAGAAGTGATGTTACTGAGTGTGTTTGCTGCACCCTGCTCTGAGCATGTTACATACATTAACTTTGAAAATTCTCCCACCGACTCTCCAAAGTAGGAAGTAACAAAACCCCACTTACCAGGTAAGACCACTGAGATGGTTGCAGTAGCCTGGGCAAGAGCACATGGTACATGACAGGGCCTGAGTTGTTAGCTAGACCTGGGCGTCACACCGTGGCCGCCCCCTGGGAATGTCTCCCAGCCCCGTCTCCAGGAACTTCAGTCTGAGCCCAGTCCAGGAGGCAGGTGAGCAGGGCGCTGCAGTTGCTCCCTTGGACATCCCAGAGGCTCTGGGGCAGAGGCCAGCGCTGCTTACACATCTATAGGACAAACCCCAGACAGGGAGAGAGTACAGTAGGGAGCAGCCGTAGGAATTAATGATGGAGATCGAGGGTGCGTGCTGAGCCCAGCAACTGGAAACCACAGCATATTATGCTGCTCTTGTTCCTACAGGGTTGAAGTAGAAATAATGACTGTTCATCATTCAGAAAAAAACCCCCCGTAAAGAATTCTTTAGGGGTTTCCCCAAATCCTACTTTGATTGACTGCTTGGGGAAGCCAGACAAAAGAGCAAATGGTTTGAAAGCAGAGATAGTGTTGTCCTAAGGCCTCGTGTCCTAAGGCCTCGGGCTGTCCGCTGCCCCTCCCCAGCTCTCATCTGTGTGAAAGAGGTTCAGAGCGCAGGGGTTTCTCTATTCCTTGTCCATGGGACACCGTGTCCCCTTAGACCTCAGCCACACGAAAGGGAAGTTCCATGACTGAGTGAGTTTGGGAAGAACCGCATACCATAGTACCCTTTCGTGTATCCGCAGTGTGTATGTTGAAGCACAGTCCCCAGCATCTTTGACATTGTCGCACACACAGAAAGTGATGATACCGTATTTCTATGGCTCACTGGAGTAGACGGGCGGGGATTACATTTACATGTGTTTCATTTGTCTTGATGGTTACGTGCTCGTGGTCAGAAACTGAAATACAAAGTCTTTTCAGAAACAGTTTTTTTAATGAGAAACTTAAGCTTGCTTTCTTGAACTTACTTTCTAAAATCGGCTTTTCTATTTGAAAGGCAGCCCATAAATCTTAATCAAGATTCTAAGAGTTGCCCTTGGACTACATATGTTGTAGCAAATGGCAGAATAGTATCTCTTATTTCTCAGCCGGCAGACACTTCCGCCTCGCCATTAGTCAGAATTTATATAATTTGATCTCTTTAAATTGTACTTTCAGGGGAAGACGAGTCTTTAAATTCAGCAGCTTTCTCTTTTCTTGCATTGACAAATATAATATCTCCTGATAATGTGGATGGATTTAGAATGCAATCAAACTTGATCAGGTTGAGTATTTCTTGATAATAATGAAGCTTTTCCTTAAGCCTCCGCAGACGTTCCTGTATTGGCCTTTAATCATTTTCAGGATTCCTATATTAGTCCTGATTAATATCACTGGTAAATCACATTAACCCCACTTATCCAAAGTTACATTTTTGCTTTGTACCCACAAACTTTGTCCATACACCTGTGTATGTTTTCTTGCTGTTCTTACTATTTTTAATTCATTTTTATCAGGCGCTCAAAAAATTGTTAATTAAATAAACCACTTAAAAAGTCATTAACTGTTCTTTAGTACATCTCCATAGTGTGAGTGATTTATAAATGAATTTTTAATTCTTCATTTTGCTCATAAATTCCCGACACGATTCTTTCCCTGGCCAGCGGATGGACATCAGTTTGAAACATCCAAAATGGGTATTACGATACCATTTATTTAGACAAAGCTTAAAACAGATGGGCCTGTGTAGCTTGCGTTTCATTAGATTCACTGTTTTTATGGTATCATCTGATATAAAATTCTCATCTGTATGTCAACTGGCTTGCTCATCTGAGGGTTTCTCTGCGAATGGACCACGGAGGTACTTGCATCTCATGATTTGCAGAATGAAGTCTTGGTGTACAGCAGGTGGCCTTGACTTTCTCCTGTCTTCCCAGTTGTGCCAAACAGCGTGCAAATGTACACAGGGTTCCTGCGATACTTGTTTCAGCGCTTCCACTGGTGACTCTGCGTATTTCATCACCATGGTTTGGCTTCGTACTTCTTTGCAAGCGATACGCAAAAATCAGTTCCATTTCGAAGCCTTAATCATGAACTATCAGAAACAGGAATTATGAAAATCCCACTTATGATAGCATCAAAGACAAGAAAATGTTTAAGGATAAATTTAAGCAAGAAAGTAAAAGATCTATACACTGAAAACTATAAGACATTGATAAAAAATTGAAGAAGATACAAATAAATGGAAAGATATCCTGTGTCCTTGATTAGAAGAATTAATATGGTTGAAATGTCCATACTACCCAGAGTGATCTACAAGTTCAGTGCCATCGTCTCCAAATGCCAACGATACTTTTCGCAGAAATAGAGAAATAGGAGTCACTGAAATCTGGAATCACTAAAGGCCCCAAATGTGCCCACATCTCCAGAGTTTGGCAAATCTTTCTAGAATTCTCCCTCCCCATCTAATCTGTTGTAAATGCCTTCCAGGCCTTGCGTTTAGCGCAGGAAGCAAATCTCAGTGAAATGTGTTTAGAAAGCACTAACTATGCAGAACATAAAAATAGTTTCTGTACCAACGCACACCACCCCAACCAAACACTCAGCTTTAGGAGACTAGATTTATTACTTCCTGCAAATTCACATGTCAGGTGGGTGGTTCTGCTGAGCCGGGCTGTGCCAAGCTCACCTCAGCGGGGCTCACATGTATATACGGTCACCTGGCTGGCGGTAGCCTCGGCTGCGGTGGTCTAGGTTCTGTGCTGTGTGGTCTGTTGTAGGCCTCCAGCAGTCCAGCCCCACCTTACTGTCAGCAAAAGCAGAGACCTGAGAGAGAGAGAGAAGAAATACATGAAGCCTCTTGAGGCCCAGGCGTGGACTCAGCTCACTCTCCTAGGCCACATTCTGTCAGCCACCATGAGTCACCAGGGCTGCCCAGGCTGGAGTGGTGGGGGCAAGAGACGTCATCTCTTGCTGGGCGGGGCTGAGAGGGAGTGGATACAGGGAGGAGTGGAGAATGGAGCGCTTTCTAACAGTCCTTGCCCCACAGGGGTGCTCAGGAGAGACAGCTTTCTAGAGAGACGTCAGCGGCCCGACTTCAAAGCAGTGAGTCGACCCTGATTTCTATAATCTGGACGAGACCCTGGACGCACTACCCTGGAGTCACTACCCCGACCCCCAGACCTGCAGGGTTGAGCAGATGGTGGTGTGTCCCCCAATTTCCCTCCGTAATTACACGTTTTTCTCTTGATGTTTATGCTGTTGAAGAAAAAATTAAAATGAGCACCAAGGATAGCCCTAAAAGGCAAAAAAAAAGATCAAAGCTGGAAGTCGCATGAGGGTGTGTGATGCAGGTGTGGGGAGGGTGGTCCAGGCCCACCCCTAAAGCTTCCAGGGCTCAGGGAAAGAATGCAAACAGAGGCCAGGGCACCAAATGTCTAAATACGTGAAAGTTCTGCATCCAGCGAGCAAATCGGTGAAGTATGTTCCAGCCTCCCATCTCGACAAATCTATCTTCATAATAGCCCGTGGGCCAGATTCAGATTTAAAACTTGAAAACTCCTTGGAAGTCTGTGCTGGGAGCGCGGAAGAGCTGGCCCCAGGCCCTGGTCTGCCTCTGCTGCTTCTCCCTTCCTGCTCTGACCCAGCCTGCAAGGGGGTCTTGGGGGCTAGTGTGTGGACACGAGTGGCCACACACACGAGGGTGCCCTTGTGAACACACCCAAGGTCTGCCCATACCCTGTGCTCACAGCTGTCCGCCCTTTCGGCAGCTGGGATTTAGGGACATCCTGCAGGTCAGGCTGAGGTCAACTGGGCAAGCGATTCCAGGGTGTGATGAAGGTGGTGATGATGATGGTGGCCTGGGGAGTGGGTGGGCTGCTTGTCCTGTGGAGGGCAGGGTGACTGGAGGAGAGCCAGAGAGCAAGCCTCTCACCCTGAGGTCCCTCCTACCTGGTCTCAGGATAGGTCCTTGTGGGCCCGCTGGTGGGCTTGGATTTTAGGGAAAGTAAATCTCAGAGCCTTTTAAATTTACTTCCTCTTTTCTTGATGACTGTTGTCCCTGAGTGCCCATCTAGTGATGAGTTATGGCGGCCGTGGGGGTCGAGGGAGGAAGGAGAGCCAAGCAGGAGCCAGGAAGGACCCTCAGTGGACCTCAGAGACACCAGAGACGTGAGCAGCCGCCCACCAGCCTTGGCCAAGGAGAGCGCCGGCCCCTTCCCAGAAGCCTCCCCCCTTCAAACATTCGCATGCGGCCTGTCCCCACCAGACCAATGCACCGCAGTCAAACCACGGACTTCGTACCCAAACAAGGACTCTCACGTGAATGTCTGTAGCAGTTTCATGTGTAAGAGCCAGAAACTGGAAACGGTCCACATAGCCATCAGCAGGTGAATGGATAGACACACCGTGGTAGATGGACAGACTGACTGTGGACTAC